AAGGCCACGCAGATCTTTCTAACTGCTCACTGCAGAAGGAACTCAAGACAAGGCCCTGGGTTGTCTGTCTGCTCCTCTCTTCTCTGAGGGGAGAGATGGTAGGCTTAAGTGTAGGCCAGATACAGCAAATGAAAATACAGATGCCCAATTTAATTCAAATTTCAGATAAACAACAATTTTTTAGTACAAGTGTGTCCCGTGCGATATCTGGGATCAGGCTATGTAACCTCCAGTCTGATCTTTGCCTGCTCAGTCATCATCAAGGTGGGCTCTCAGTCTCACACCAGTGGAGACCACATACTTGAGATTCATTTGCCTGCTCCACCCATGCAGAGAATTAAGATTACCCTTTTTATAATTGCAGAAATTTATAATTGCAGAAATTATGTGAGTAATTAGCACAGGCTCTTTTCAGAGCATTTTCATTTATAAACATTTTTAGTTTTCTCCTTAAAAATTGGAGGTGGAAAGGGAACTCTTTCAAAATTTTTGTGCCTCTAAGCTTTAGGTAAGAAGTAAAATATGGTTTATACTTGCTTATATAGCTTTATTTCTAAGTATTGTGTGGAGACCACCCTATGTATCTATAGGAGCTTTTCCAATTACTATTGTTCTCATATCCTGTTATTTCCCCCATAGCATTGATCCCAATGGGTGAATAATATGCTTGTGTGTTTACTACTTTATTGTCAAGCACAATGTAAGCTCTTTGAGGGGGAGGATCATAAAGACATTGCTTGTCAGTATCTGTATACAGCCTAAAACAATGCTGGGCACATGGAGGCTGCTCATTAAATTTCCATTGTATGCATGACTGCAGGAAAGGGAACACTGATAAATTTAAGTTGTAGAAGTTTGGAACTGAAAAGGAACGATGGAGCTTATCTCCTTCAATTCTCCTGTTCATGGAAGAACAAGCCAAGGCCTGACAGGCTAAGAGGGGGTTAGTGGAGAGCCAAGCTTAAAGTCCGAGGTTCGTAGTATCTAATCTGAGCTTTGGTGCCACTAAAAGAATTGCTTGTTTTGTTTTCATGTCCCATTTTTATCATCATCCGGAAAGAAGGAGACTTTTTTTCCTCTCTGCTAGGTCTACAGTGTCACCAACACAAATGATCATTCGGAGGAAGCACTGAGGAAGTAGGATTCAAATTCAGCTGAAATTTACTAAGTACTTTATATCAGAAACATTCACATATGATTTCTTATTTTAATCCTTATAAAAATATGTAGAGCTGGGTATTGTTGTTTCCATTGGAAGTTGAGTCTCAGAGAATTGACTTGCCTGAGGTCAGATAGGTAAGAAGTGGTAGGGAGAAGATTGAAAACCAGAGTTCCTCATTCACTAACCACTCTCTCCTCTGTTCACTACACCACAGAACTGCTATATTTTTGTGCGTTTTTTAAATCGAGGTCAAGGGGGCTATACAGAGCTATTTCTGTGGCCTTATTTTGGTCTCAGATTTATTTGGTCTCAGATTTACTAGGTAGCAGAGATATTGAGATATACTTAACACTTCAAATAGCCATCAAATGGCCTATGCCAGTCTTTCTGCACTTTTCTGTCTCTCTTCCATACCTAGCAGATGCTCAGCAAATACTTGTGGGTGTTAAAGAAATGTATGTGTGTCAGGAAGGAAGCTTTTATTATTTATAGAAGAGATGACATACTAATGAACTTGAACCAATAGGTATGCCTAGTTCACCTTATTTTTTCAAGAAGATGGGCATACTTTATAAAGTCTTTGTTTTGTCATTTTTGTCTGAACATTTTTAGAATTCTAAAAATCACATTTTCAGCGTGCCCTTTCCTAGGTTTTCTTAAAGCTAAATTATTTATAGATCATTAGAAAGCTCAAAATTACTACTGTGAAATACAAATGGTTATTGATTTTAAAAAACTGAAGTTAGCTCTATATTTTACTGAGTAAAAGTATACCCAGAAACACAAAATACTTAAGAAAGGTTCTTATCCCTAAATGGGTTTTTATAATATATTTAATACTTTATTTCGACTCAAATAATTGAATTTTTAAATTTTGTCTCACTCATTTTTTCTAAGATAAATAATTGTAACAAATGTTATCCTTATTAACAGCTGTCAAATAAAGGAAAATACAGTAGAACGTCTCATGGTTCAGATAAAGAGTCTTAGAGAAAAGAACCAAAAGTATCATGAAAGAGTAAGTACAAGATTTAATGCCTATTTCAAGTCATTAAACATTTACACAAATGCTTTAAAAAATTGTGAATTATGATGAAATGTACCCTAGGAAATTATCTTATTTAGTGCTTGTGATTGATTAATTTACAATCTATTTAAGTTTTTTTTGTACATGTAAGGCAAGAGGACACTGCTTTTCCTATTATATTAATTGCAATGTCAAAGGAAATCCGTTTGAATCATGAGGATGCTTGAGTCTTATGTTCAAAATTTTAAAGCTCTGAAACCACATTTAGATTTTAATTTCTTATTTAGCCAAACTATAAAACATTGGTTCTTTATTTTTAATTTCTGCATCTGTTTTCTTTTAGATTTTTGGAGTGTGACTATGTAAATATTATTTGAAAAATACAATCTTAGTTGCTAAAGTGACTAATTTAATGTTTAGGATGATGTGTTGTTTTTATAAAATCAGATTAAAATGAATATCCAAGGGGTGCTATATACGACTATGAGAAATAAAGACCAACAGAAATAAATGTTGAAAGCAGTTAATGATCATTAAACTTATCCCGTAAAGCATCTCATGAATGAGAAAATACTGAGGGTGTCCCCTATCAAAACATTAACTTTATATGGACCCTGAAACTTCCACACTTAAATGTTATTTGGGGAGGGGAGCTTTGTCTAAAGAGACTATCTATAAATTTTAACGAAAATCTAAGATCGGAGGCCTGAGTTTGCATCCTGACTGTACAACTTACTGCCGATGTCATTTTGGCCCAAACTGGGATGATCCCTGTTTCCCTCTTATAAAAAGGGGCTTCCTAGTCTTCCTCACAGGGCTAGTTTGTTCATTCAGCAGATATTTATTGGGCAAGACAGGCCCTGGTGGTGATATAACTGTGACCCTGACATTGTCATGATTCTCAAGGAACAGTCACTTGTAATACGGACAAAAACAGAAACTTGGGTCTGCGGATGAGCATGGGAAGCGGCAGTTTGGCCTCCGTGCTCGGAGTGAGCTGCCATCAAGGGACCAGTGCACATCCTCCAGCGGTCAGCTTTGGGACTTCCATTTGGCTGTGGAAAGGACAACAGATCAGGGCCAAGGAGTCACTTTCCCATAGCCCATCAGATGGAGCCAGAAACAAAGTTCTTGTTTCCATGAGGATTAGCGCAAGAGTGGGAGAGGCCTAGCTCTGCTCCAGGGGTCACTAGTGGACCCAGCAGTGTGAAGCAATCTATTTTTTTCCATTTATGCTACTACTGCTCCAGGTTAAGCCACCGTCATCTCTTACCCATCCTTCTCTAGCCAGTACATTTTCCACAGTGCAACCAGATTGCCCTTTGAATACTGTAAACCTTTCAGTGCTTAAAACCCTGCAGTGGCTTCCTATTGCACAGAAAATAAAATCCATAGTCCTTCCTAAAGCTTTCAGGCCCTGCAAAATCTGACCTGCGCACACCTCTCCCACCTTGTCTCCAGCTGCTCCACCCTTTGCTTACCATTGCTTCTTTTAAATCTTGGGAAACCCAGGCTCTTTCTTGTGATTGCACCTTTACAATAAAGAGGCTGTTTTCTCTTCCCGGAACTCTCTTCTCTTGGCTGGATCCTTTTAATTCCCTCTGTCTAAACTGGAACGTCGAGGTCACATGCATTTAAGTTGCTAAATTACATGTGACTCATTAGCAAGATATACTTTTCTCTTCAGTTGTCAAAATCAGGAATGGCCCTCTTCCTTCCTACCCGTCATCCCTTCCCATGTGTGTTTAGGCTGACACCTCATTTATAACCTTTCTCTCTCTGCAGTCATTGTTCCACTGAACCTCATTAGCTTTTTCATGGTTCACGGTGTCCACTTCCTGACCTCCCGATTCATTCTTTCACTTCCGCTATTCCACCACTTGCGCTCTAGCAACAGTTATTAATCACCACTTAGCCAGGTCCCATGGACTCTCTTTAATCCTTACTTTACCCCACATCCCTTCGGCGGTCACTACTGTCATCTCGAAGCTCTTTAACCTTTGGGTTCCAGGACATCACTCTTCCTTAATTTTCCTCCTACAGTACTTCTCTGACCACTTCTTCATGTTTTTCATTCATTGTTTTTTTCCTGGACCTACACCTTAATTAGGGTATTTACCAGTGTTCTGATCTCAACCTTTTCTTTCCGTCTAACCTCTCTCGGGGAGATCTTATTTAACACCACAGCTTCAAATGCCATCTATGTGGTGATCATTCTTACATATGTGTGTGACAAATTTCATAATTCCACACATTTAAAAAAATTAGCACACGTGAAAACTGGTGATATCCAAATAACATCTCTAGTTTAGTTAGAAACAGTGTACCAGTGCCAGCTCCCTGGTTTTGATAATGTGCTATGTAAGATGTTGTCATTGGCCCAGCCCAGGCGGCTCAGCTGGCTGAGGGTCGTCCATGCACTGAAAGGCTGCCGGTTTGAGTCCCAGTCAGGGCACATGCCTGGGTTTTGGGTTTGGCCCCCAGTGGGGGAGAGTACAGAAGGCAACCAATCCATGTTTCTCTCTCTTTTCTCTCCCTTCCTCTCTCTAAGCATGTCCTCGGGTAAGGATTTAAAAAAAAAAGTTATCATTGGGGAAAACTGGGTGAATAGATGGGAACTCTGTGTGCTATTTTGGCAAATTCTGTTCTTGTTCTTATGAGTCATAAAAAGTTAAAAGGGTAAAAGCCCATGTAATGGCCTTATAACAAAACAAAATTAATCCCCTTTTTGTAGCTTATTTACTGAAGCTCCTTTCTTCTACTTTAAAATGTCATAATTATTTTTACCTCAAAGAACAATTATTTACTTCACTTTGCAAGATAAACATATTTTTAGCATATTGCTGGATATATCTAAATTTTATTTCAGTATGTAGCTCAAAATAATTTTTCAGACACAGTGAATTTTGTAATATGTTGTCAGAAACATTTCCCTTCCATTTGAAATTTATATATGGGATTTGGTAAGTTTAATATAGATGTTATTAAACTTACATATCATGGGAAATATGATATAGTAATGTTTCTACAACATTAAATTATAGGACATGAGATGCTGTTTTAATTTACAAATAAAAACATCACATGTTTGAAAAGAATAGCTATTGTGTTAAAAATTTGATGTAACAGAATTGGATTCACTTTGAGAAGTATTGTGCTATGTATGGAAAGTAAAAGAAAATTTTCTTTATATATTACATATTTTTATTAGTTGTATGTAATGACTTTTAAATTAACAATATCTTTGTAAATGTTTTGCCTATATATCATGGTAAGTATTTTTTATCTGAAATTTAATTTAGAGGTCATTGTTGCTTTACTAAAATTAAGTAGCATAAGGAAAATCAGATAGAGATTTATTTAGTATTGAGGACATACTTGATAAAGGAATTTTCCACTTCTACAAAAATAAGTAGAAAAGCCCATATTTGGTAAAAGGATTAGCAGTTCAATAGTTTAGCAAGGGATATTTTCATTGGTATGATTCAAGTTTCTACAAATATTTCATTTTAAAATACCATGTAAAACCAAAGTAATTCAATTTATTTATAAGAAAACAAAACATGAATCTATTTAATGGAATATTTGAGAATTCCTTGAAGAGTAGCAAATGGTTTGTTTTTCAGTTTCTAATATTTATTGTCCTTCATTTTTAAATTTAACTTTTTATTTTGAGATAACTATAGATTATACAGAGAGATCCTGAGTACCCATTACCTTGTTTCCTATAACATATTACAAAACTATTGTACAATACATATCACAAGTAGGATATTAATACTGACATTGATACAGTCAAAATACAGAACATTTCCATCAATACAAGCATCCCTCAAGTTGTCCCTTTAGAACCACTTACTCCCCTCCCAATTCTATCCATTCCTTAACCCCTGGAAACCATTAATCTGTTCTCCATTTTTGTAATTTTGTCATTTCAGGAATTTTTTATAAATGGAATCATACAGTAAGTAACCTTTGGGGACTGGCTCTTTTCATTCTGCATAGCTCCCTGGAGATTCATCAAGGTTGTGGTGTATATCATTAGTTGGTTCCTTTTTATTGCTGAGTAGTATTTCATGATGTGGAACTACCACATTTTGTTTAAACATTCACCTATTGAAAGACATGTGAGTTACTTTCAGTACTTGGCTACGACAAATAAAGCTTTTATAAGCATTTGTGTATAAGTTTTCATAAGAATATAAGCTTTCACTTCTCTGAGATAAATTCCCAACAATGCAGTTGCTGGGTTGTATGGGAAGCAAATATTTAGTATCGTAAGAAATCGACATCCTTTTAACGGGTAGCTGTACCATTTTACAATCCCACCAGCAATATATAAGTGATCCAGTTTATCCCCATATCTGCCAGCATCTGGTAACATCACTATTTTATTTTAGACATTCTGATAGGTGGGTAGTGATATCTCATTGTATTTTTAAGTTACATTTCCCTTATGGCTAATGACATTGAACATGTTTTCATATGCTTATTTGCCATTTATATATTCTCTTTGGTGACATTTATTTTAGTGTCTTTTGCCTATTTTCTTTTTCTGTTGAGTTTTGAGAATTTTAAAAAGTTGTAGGTAGGTAGGAAGGTAGGTAGGTAGATAAATGGTCTTCTAGATATTAGTTCTTTGTTGAATATGTTACTTGCAAATATTTTCTTTTGGTCTGTACCATATCTTTGCATCTTCCTAACAGGCTCTTCCACAGAGCAGCTTTTAATTTTAATGAAGTTCAGTTTATCAACTTTTCCCTTATGGATCATGCTTTGGTGTCATATGTAAAAGCTCTTTGCCTAGCCCTAGATCACAAAGGTTTTATTCTAAGTTTTATTCTAAAATGTTTATAGTTTCACCTTTTCAACTTAAATCATGGTCCATTTTAATTTTTGTTTAAGATATAAGACTTAGATCAAGGTCTTTTTTTACATCATCCCCTCAAGCGGTGGAATGAGAGAGGGCTCTGATCTTGTCCTCCTCTCATAAAGGCAATAATCTCATCATGGGGTCTCTATCATGACGCCCTCATCTAAACCCCGGGCATGTGCCCTGACAGGGAATCGAACCTCTGTCTCCTGGATCCTACATCAATGCTCAACCGCTGAGCCACGCCCAGCTGGGCCCTATAGTTCTTTAGGCATGAATTCCTTCAACTCTTTGAATATATTTTAGATAGCTGATTTTAAATCTTTGTCTAGAAAGTCCAATGTCTAGGCTTCTTCAAGGACAGTTTCTATTGACTGGCCCTTTTTCCCTGTGTATAGTAAAAATCCCAGTAAGAATGTGGATGGACCATAGTTTCTTGGTTTGTTTTTTGCATTCCTCTTAATTTTTTGTTGAAAACCAGACATTTTGAATATTATAATGTGACAACTCTGGAGATTAGATTCTCTTTTCTCCCCAGAATTTTTCATTGCTGCTTATTGTAGTAGTTGTTTGCTTGCTTAGTGACTTTTCTGAATCAATTATGTGAAACCTATGTTTTTTGTTGGGTGGCCACTAAAGTCTTTGTTTGCTTAGCTTAGAGGTCAGCTAATGATTGGACAGAGATTTCTTTAAATGTCTCTAACCAATAAATGTGCCAGCCTTTGATGAGGGGCTCTATGTCCTTGCTGGAACATGACTTCTACACTCAGCCAGGAAATTTACAACTTCACCTTCACCTTTACTTCTTGCTTCTACGGAGCTTCAAGGTCAGCCAGAGGTGAGTGCTTAGGGGCTTCTTAGGTCTTTCCTGAGCATGCTCACAGCCTTATACATGCATGTGGCCTTTTAGATTCTTGTGACTATGTCAGAGCTTTTTTAATCTCCTATGGACATCCTATCTCCAGCTTTCTTTTAGAGTTTGTTTTTTTGTGGGATTTTTTTTTTTTTTTTTTT